TATTTATTTATTTGGTACAGAGTCTCACTACACAGCTCAGACTCAGTGATCCTCCTGTGAGCCTCTTGAGTGCTGGTACTACAGGTATGCACCACCATGCCCATTTTCAGGGGTACATGGTGCAGGGCCGGCACATGGCATGCAGTACCGGGGATCAAACCCAGGTCCTGTACTATCTCCCCAGTCCTCCTTTTGTCAGTTTTAAGCACAAGACAAATTTATAACAGAAATTCATGATATCAGAAGACTCTTCAACCAAATAAAGTGCCAATTCAAATCATGTGAAATACAAATTCTTAACTTAAACTTTTATTGCATTTCAGCTTGAGTACCAAATCCTTCCAAACAATAATAACCTAAGATTCTATGATCAACAGGCCTTTTAAAAAATCTGGAAAAATCAACTCCTAGATAAATACTGAGCATATAAAATCACAACCAAAAACTTTAGGCATGAGCAAACCCGCTATCATTGTGTAATTTAAAATTATAGTTAAGTCCACTTATATAAACACATTATAATCACACCTAACACTGGATTTTTCTTTCTCATAAACAGAAATGACCACACAATACTATAGTGTCACAGAATTTAGAGTGAATATAATAAATGACATAAACTGAATGAAAAAAATAAAAGTTCTAAAAAGAACCTGACATGAAAGTCATATAACAAAGTCATTTTATAGAGAATGTTTAGGGGCATTTAGTACATTCATAATGTTGTACAACAACCATCACCTATCCCTAATGCCCAAGTACTTGCATTTCCCTAAAAGAAACCCCATACCCACCCAAGCACAACTGATTTCAGTTTTCCCCTCTGAATCTGCCTCTGTGGATTACTGATTTGTTTTTCACTTAAAAAAAAAAAAAAAAGATTTTATCCAATTTATTTCCTTGCAATTGAATTCTTCAGAATTGATCACTATGAAGTATAATGTAAACACAAGCACATTTTTGCAATCATGATTATGTTTTCTCTTTAGATGGGATAATTCTTCATTTGACACTAAAAATGTCAGCAATTACCTGTTTGGTAACTATAGATGAAGGCCTATCTTAGGTACTGACTAACGTTCATTTCTAGACATAGTGAAAATGAGAAGACTAAGATTGATAATAACTTCCTCTATCCCAATTAGCCTCATTTATACCTACCTCCATGTGCCAAAGAAACAAATTTGGATGTTTGCATTAAGTCAGTGATAAACATTTTCATCTAAGAGAACTAGACTCAGGTCACCTCTGGACTACTAAAGCCCGAGATATTTACCAAGGGAAGTGTATCTCCTATCCCAGAGGACCTTCCAATGCACAGGTAAGCATTTCTATTAAAAAATACTTAGGGTTGCTTGCCAAGCTGAGCCTTCAATATCACAAATGAGGATAAATTTGCCTAATTATAGTACTTTCTTCTTAAATTTATAAAATATATACATCTCAATTTAAATGTCATTTATGAATCTTCATTTTATTTATTTTTAATGTATTTAGTACAGGGTCTACAGGGTCTCACTACATAGATCAGACTCATAGTGATCCTCCTGTTTTCAGCCTCCCAAGTGCTGAGATTACAGGCATATGCCACCATGCCCAGTCTCAATCACCTTCTCAGTGCGCCCTGGGGGAGGGGTTAGCATGCTGCACTCTGCCTTTAGTCTGCTAAGCTATCTGGTCGGCCCATAAATTCTCATTTTAAAATGCAGAAACAAGAAACTAGGTTAATCTGAGTAGATAGAAATGGTGAATGACATTCTTAAGACTAAGTATATCTCTGCTGCAAAACAGAAGTGGCCACTCTTGAGATTGAACTTAGGACCTTGTGCCTGCCAGGCAAGCACTTATTCTACTGCACTATCTCCCCAGCCCTCTGCTGCAAAATAAAAGTATACACATTACTCCAGATTTTGCACCATCACATCTAAAAATGTATTTTAAAATTATCTCTATTCATATTCAAATATTAACTTTACATCTATGATAACAGGGCACTGTAAGAATATTATGATTAAGCCTACATAGCTTCTAAGAGTTAATGAAGATGGTAAAGTTAGAGGCATACACAACCATAATACAATGCAGCAACTGTGTTACATTCGTGGGAGAGAAGGCTTTATAAAAACAAAGAGGTAACAGATTTCATCTCTTCACATGGGCATGGAAGAGGTAAAGATAAGGTCTCTAATGTTCTCCACAGTTTTGGGAAGGCCTCAGCAATTCAACAACATAACAATCATCCTTCCTATGAATTCTTTAGGAAGCCTGCTATCCCCATCTATTACAACTTTATACTCATCCATGTTAATCTATTTTCTTACTTTTTAAACAAGAATATTCAAGAAAATGCACAACACCAATAATGTTGTAAATCATTATTACATCATGAAAATGCTACCACACTGCCATCCTGTGGAAGCATATTTATTGGCATTCATTACTACAGCTCATGCTTCCAATGTTAGAAAAATTCCAAAACTTACCATTAGAAAGGCACATACAAAAGCATAATGCATAAATAGACACATATATTTGGTATATCTTTAAGGAAAATCTCTTCGATCTGGGACATGTAGAAATCTTCTAAACAGAGCTGTGATGGCAAACCTTGTTGAGCCTTCATTGATACCAACAACCCACAACCCATCATGGCACATGTGCCATAGGTTTGCCACCACTGGCTTAAACATTTTGATTTTTCATCTTAAAGTCCTTTAACCTTAAATTACATTAGCACTTTTGATTTATCTTCTGGTTAATATTTAATGGAAATGTCTAACAAAATATTAAACTCTCGGCCAATCAAATTAATATTTTTAAAAAGGAACAGATATAACTTAAAAATATAAATTTGCTTTATTACTAACAATATGATTAGCTGAGCATGGTGACACACCCCTGTAATCTCAGCACCCATGAGGCTGAGGCAGGAGGACTGCTGTGAGTTTGAAGTCAGCCTGGGCTTACATAATGAGCTCAAGGTCACCCTGGACACACAGTGAAACCCTCAAAAACAAAAACAAAACCAAAACAAAAAGCTAATACGATGACAAGCTTGTAAGAAAATGCTGCAACTTTTAATTAAACATAACACATACACAAGTGCATGCACATGCGTTACTTCCACTTGACCAGCAGATAATAATAATAAAAAAATTTCTTTTCCAAGGGCACTCGTAGTTTACTATACTATGGTAAACGACATAGTATAGTGAATAAATTACGGATAATGGTATTTTACAAACTCCAGATTTATAAAAGCAAGAAATAGCTTATTCAAATAACATAAGCAGAAACTAATCACAGCATTTAAAAATGGCAAATACATTTTCAGTGAAAAATGAAAATTCTAGAAGAAATACATTTAAAATCTAATTCTCTTATGTAAAAGTAATTCATTTAATTCTAGCAATGGTTATTTAGTGAGATTAATATCAAAGTACTCTGTAACTATATACTATGTGTGCATTTGAAGATTATATGAAGAATTCATGAACTATATACAACTATTATTTAAACTGAAAGTATTAGATAATGTTCCACAGCAACTTCTAGAGCTTTGTTGCAAACAGTATAATTAGCAAAATGAATTCATAAACAGAGCAAAATAAATTAAAAAGATTTATAGAACATGAAGTTAAAATGTTACTACTAAAAAACCTTGGGGCCTTCTTC